GGAAACTTGAAACTAGTAATCTTAATTAAATTGTATGTGGTGCATTAGTTCAGCTCTTTAATGGAAAGATAAAGGATTGAAATTGGTTCAATTCCGAAAAAATCACAACGATTATCCACGTGGTGTAACTACCATAATGACCTTAGGAAAACCAAGAAGTGTTGTATTTCTAATACTCCTGTGAGTCTGAAATGCACGTTGTAACATCATTGACATATCAGATAAAAAAACATAACAAATACAAATTTAGCAGCCACGTGTCTTTCCGCTATATTTGATTTACCGAGTAGCACCACTAATTTCATTACATGTTACGAATATATATACACACAACGCGAGATTTGAACTCACGACCCCAGTAAAGCGCCTCACCACTGTAAAAAAGCACACCTCATGGCGACACTAGATTCATGAAGAAAATCTCTTTAGTGACTGTTGACGTCATAATAGATTTACCGTTAAAATGGCATGACATGCTTACAAATCATTCTGAACAGAACTACTAACCAAATTTATTTCATATTTAGCTTGTAGCATCTAGTTATCAAGCGTCTTCAAATTCCAAAAGCTTCACTAGCAAATGATTTGTAATTTAGTGTAATTTAGTTAAATATATATTATCACGTGGTGCGATCTCCATTTTGGATTGCATGCAAACATAAAGTGTTATATTGCCCCAAATAATCATTGCTTCAAATACCTAAACTCTTATACAGTACAAGTACAAGAAAACAATCATCCTTGGGAAACGGATACCATGTCAATTTGAGACAATTAAATGTACATACTACATGCAGTGCGGCACTTCTCTGAACCCCTGAGATGCTGATTGTATCTTTAATTACATATATAATTGCACAAGAAAGGATCCCAATGGAAACAATCGGAGACAGTGTTCACGTGCTCACATTAATAATAACATAATTCGTAAGAGAAGTCCCCCCCCCCAAGACTAAATGAATTAAAAAATTTCAACGGTTATTCCAACCGCATTGCTAAATTCAAGGGAGAGAAGCAAATCACTGAATTGTATTTTTGAAAGGAAAAAGATGTAAGTTATGTAATATTGTAATGATTATCCCGGGAGCTGTACACATAAAGATCAGTCATATCAAAGGCATCATTTCCCAAATCAAAACCAAATTCAGAAAACAACTTAAATAATAATAATTAACCCCGCCTTACTTCGCGAGCACTAATTATCATCAACTATGTTTTGAACAAACTAGTATTTTTGAATTTGAGGTTTGAATGTAATTTTAATGTCACAGTGATGTAATATGAAATATACTATGTATGTAATATATATGTATACCTATATGTAAAACTTTCCATACACTCAAAATATAATTTGTCATTACATTATTTCAGGTGTTTTACCCGTTTGCTATTAATGGGTAGACAACGAATTTATATATATTTATATTGATATAAACAATTTGTAATTACCTTCTTAGAATTATAATTATATTAGACTAGATCAATTACACAATACTGAAATACATCTATATCACGTGGAAATATTGTTCAATATGTTGTCTATTTCATAACAATCGTCATTATCATCAAAATATCACACCTTAAGACAAAGGTTAGTCAAAGAATTGTATAAAACAAGAATTCAATTTGATTTCACGTATTCGAATGTATGTTATCAACCTTGCTAATAACGTCTCCATAGCAGATTATGTCGGCTATCTAGAGGCATGTTTACTGGCCGATCATTGTGTAATTTCCGAAACGCGATGCGTTCAGATATTATATCGATCCAAAATCAACTCTCCGTGTATAACAACCACTAATTAGTTTTGCATTGCTCTCTCGATAATAGACACATGCTGTCATATCGGTCGAGTTTACGTAACGACTGTTTTCAACGAACGTGGAATAAATCAAAATAAGTCAATACTAGTACATTCTTGGCAGGTGTATAATCTGTTATTTCCTGCAACAAGAATAACATCTTGCTCAGTGTAATATCATAGTTATTAAGATATCACAACCATGCGTACAACTATCGTCATATTAAGTAGAAATAACACAATTGCTGTCTAAATTTATAGGCAGTTAAAGCGGGAGGGTCGTCACTTGCGCACGCGCGGGAATTGAGTTTCAAGCGACGATAACAACACACGCTAAAAACACAAAGACTCATGGGTAGACGCTTGTTTGTAAATAATGACACGCTATGGCCATCTGGCGCATGCGCAGGTGACGACTCCCCCGCTTTAATGGAGCACACACAAAACAGACAGCAAACGAACGACTTAAAAATATAAGACGTGAAATCGACAGTACTAACAGAACTGTCGAGTTTCGAGTTTCTAAGCTGCTGGACTATAATGTGCTATGGGTGAATGTGTCAAAGGGGATATACTATTGGGGATATACTAATATATACCGTAATAGTAGTTTATAAATAAATAAACGCTGCTCGGACTGATAAATATGATATATAGAAGATAATATTTGGTAATCGTAGTCCTAAATAACTATTAAAAATAGCTAGACGTTTCGAGCAATGGCTCTTTATCGATAAAGACGTTTCGAGCAATAGCTCTTTATCGATAAAGATAAAGATATTCAAATCCTATTGGGTATATATTTGTGACTTATGTAATTTGATTGAGCAATTGTCTTCAAGAACCCATCATTTATTGTTTAGAACAATCATTATTATCATATATTTATAAAATTGGGATATGCATGTGGGGTGATACATTTCTAGAAATAGGCAAATGAGTGTTACACAACTGGTTAGTGTTCGACTTTTTTTAGTGTTCTTTATTCGCACACTAGCACTAGAGCCATGCTACATTTCGTCTTTTTCAATACAGCGATGAACTCGTTTCGTTTACGTTTCTGTTTACACACATCAAACCTTTCAAGCGCCAACTCCATTCTGTGATGTCATCCACAAATTCAGGTGAGAGTGTGACAGAACTAGTTAGTGTTTGTCTCAGCTGTTTTTTCGTAGTGTATTTGTATATTCGCCACGCACGTCTTTAAAATATGCGAGCACTGTAGCACTAGAACCGCGGTACGTTTTGTGTTTTTTTGAATACGGCGATGAACTGCTCGTTTCTGATTACGCACATCAAACCTTTCAAGCGTCCACTCCAATTTGTGAAGCCATTTACAAACTTGATTGACGAGCAGCCATAATAGAATCCTCATCGATATCACTGTAAATAGAAAACACATTCTCCATCCCAAATCCTTATTATTATGCAATTTAATATAAACGATGAATATTTAATTATTATCATTCACTATTTAAAAACTGGTACTACCAATGGCACTATTAAATAGTTGGTATTACCGAAAGCATATTTGTGTTTGGGTCGTCGGTATCTCACCACTCGAACAATCAGCTCCGCATTAGCGGTCAACATGTATTTAATATGAAAATAATATAAGACTCTGCAAATAGTTTGCAGATATTGTACTGAAACAAACAAGAGTAATGTTCTTTGAATGTTTAAGAGGGCAAATGGTTTTCTGATACTTTGATATACAGGGGGCATGTTTAATTCTTTTCTCGAGAAACTGATCAGTGTTTTGACAACCTGATATAGCTACCCGCCAATCGTGGAATATACATTACATGGAAGATGAAGAGGTATAGAATATTCGAACGACTACTTCGTAAACAAAACGAAAGGAAATATTGTATTGGAAACGGAGATATAAATAAATAATCACAAAGACGAAGAATTGGTGTCAACTTAACATATACACCCGACGTGAGAGATAACACAGACGTCAAGTGTAGGGTATTTAGATTTTCGAACTAAACAGAAGAAAGCGTCAATAGCAAAGGCAACGGAAGTAGTGGTTCCTGAATTCACGTAAAATACGTAATCACCATTATAGTAATGTGTTTTATTAGAATGTACCAAAGATGCAAAGATGTTCCATATCATTGAACGTCTTCGTTTTTCTCAATTCATAAACAGAAACAGCGAGTTACATAATACAATTGTTAATATTTTGAAACATTCTTCAATTTCACTGTCGCCCATAATCATATCACGTATTCGCACGTGAAATGCACGTTTTCGATAACATCTCTACGTCAATGCAGTATTAAATCGCGTCTGTGGTGAAGATTATACATAAACATACATCGCTACAAGCTGAAATCGGAAGAAATCACATTAATAGTCTCCTATCTAGTACAGCCAATGATGAAATATGTACAGTAACTATCAGTTGAATGCGTTTTGATGATTCTCATGGAAACCCTCCAATTTTCATCACTTTTCGAATCTTTTCTTACTGTAATTTCAAATGCGAACAATATTTGCGCAATTATAGTTGTCTATTTCAGTAATTGGTTAGGCGTATGTCGCAATTGAGAGATACGCTCACGGTGTTCTAATTCATGCTTGTGACTTTACAGAATTGTCCATATGAACCCAACCCACCCGGTATTAGAAGAACACACATCATCTATAACGAGAAACTGTCCGACTGATATGCGGTATGTAAACATATAGTAAGCAAAATAACGTCTGTGTATGATATGCTAACGAAATATGAAGATAGATAGTCCATTATCGCATTAAATATATAAAGGATACTGTCCTTTGTTCAGATGGGAAAGATTTTTCAATGCGGATCTTTCGAATTATTCGAAATGAGTCTAGAAGTGACATCATTTCATTGTAAGCAACATGTAACTAAAGAGGTAACAATTGACTGAGCATCGCGCAGAGTTCTATAAACCTAATTGTATTAATATTTTATATATTATGAATACAGGATATCATACTACACTCATGATTCACCTAGCTACCTGGATACTTATCTGTTGCTATGGCAACATCTGCGTAGATATAAGTGAATAATTCTGTTGAGACCAATTTTGATTGGCTATTGGTGGCAACTAATTCAGACCAGCGCATAGTAGTTGTTCAACATTTGCGCTCGGCTGTTGAAACTTGAAACAACTGAAGTTAGCCGTCTTATCAGGAGATTCCGTAAAGTCAGTAAATATGGCAGCGACGAATGATACATTGCCCGATCGTGGATCACAGACGCCACTCTCGCTCATCGACAAGAACTTAGACATCTGCCGAGGCGTCATCGCCGTCATAGGTATGCTGGCTAATGGGTTTGTCATTTACGTGTTCCTACGAGTCCGCTTTCTGCGATCTATCACTAATCTGTTCCTTATTAACCAGTCCGCTATAGACTGTCTCTGTTCTGCTTTCTTAGTCGCGATGAAATTTATTCCCATCAGCTGGCCACTGCAATTTGGAGCTTTCAACGATTTCATCTGCAAGATATGGGTATCTGAATATCTTATGTATGGTCTCATAGTGGCATCTACCATGAACTTAGTCTGTGTAACAATTGAACGATATATAGGTATCGTATACCCATTGTTTCATCGCGGTTATTTTACTGACAGGAAAGCCAAGATCATGATTGTTTTTGTTTGGGCATGGGGCTACGCTTGCGAATTGGTATGGATGATAGTGAACGGAGCCGAAGACGGCATCTGCATGATGCATTTTCCGAGTACTACCTACCTACATTTCAACGGCTTCTGGTTTATTACAGTCATTTTCATCTTACCCGTCACGATCATGTTGTATGCTTATATACATATGTTTATTTCACTGCGACACAAGAACATAAACATAGCAAACGTTGAGGCGTCTGGCAGGACTGTCAAAATGGAGAAAGCCCGGCGAAACGTTATCAAAACCCTGGCAACTGTGTTCATTATGTATATCATATGTTGGCTACCCGAGCAGGCCATGTATTTCCAATACTGTGTCGGAATACCAGTAGATCTGACGGGGATCAAGTTCAACGTCGCCCTGCTGCTGATTAACTGCAACATGATAGTCAATCCATTCATCTACACAATACAGTATAACCAGTTTAAGCAGGGAGTGCGCACGGCATTTCGCCAAAGAACGACCTCAGCTATCGCGCCTCTTCCGGCGAACCCTGCAGATGTTGAACAAGGGGGTATCAGCCTGCCAAAAAGAACAGCAACGTCTACGGAAAGCGCCTCTAACATTTAAAATTATAGCACTTTTACACGCAGCAATATTACTATTACGTACACGTGCCTGTTCTTCATTGTATACAGCATTATGAATTGTTCAAACTTTGTGTGCGAGAATTACAATGGTA